AAGAACATGTAGTGACTGTTAATAGGTACAGGGTTTCTTTCTGGAGTGATGAAAATGTTCTGGAATTAGACAGCGGTGGTGATTGTACAACTCTGTCACTATACTAAAAACCACTTAAGTGTATACCTTAAAAAAAGTCCAGTGCTATCAGTTCAATAAATGCTTATCAATGGGGGGGACTCAGATGCATTAACTAGATATTTCCTTACACAGATTTATAAAAAGCTAACTAACCACCTCTGCTAGAACAGAAGGTCCCTGAAGGCAGGGATGGCCGCTCATATATTTCCCTTAACATCTAGTATATTAGATTACACTAAGCCAGTATTCAATCAAGGTTCACTAAATAAATTAATATCCACATATTACATACCAGGGATCTAGAAGTGTACTGATCAAGATACCACAAATTAAGAAAAACTCACTTTATATTCCCCAAAATCCTGAATCGCCACTAACAAGTCACTTCTCTTAATCGGAAGTTTATATCACCCATTTATACCATCCTTACCACCATATCACAATCCAGAGGACCCTAACTTCCGTGACATTTTTAAAACCTAGTTCAAATTCTCCACCTTATGTCTATCACCAAATGCCACCTTCTCTCAGTGTTTTTCTACCTCTTTAACCACATTCCCTAAGATAGAAATGTCTCACATACTTAGCCTCATTTGTGCTTCTCAAACATCCAAGAGTCAAAGAGAACTATCACCATTATCTTCATGTGACAAATGAGAAAAAATGTCATGTCTAAGGACACCTGGTCTCTTGGGTTCAAAGTTCCTCTTTCTTCACATAAATCATGTACTTCCAAACTTTCTTCTCTTTTGATAAACAGGGAACCTTCTGATGTTAGATTTTTTAAGAATAAGTACAAATGAAAATATATAAAAATCAAAGCAGTAAGTATAAAGTCTGGATGAGAGCTGAGGCAAGAGGACAACAAAAAAGGCTTGTTTAGAACAAGAAGGGAGAAACAAAGGACCCACTGCTTAGGGAAGATGTCATATCAAGGGATGACAATGACAAATGCAGCCCCATTCAGCTTCTTCTTGGCTTTGGTAATCTCCATCAGGAGCATGATCTTCAAACTGGGAAGGGCAGAACTCTGACAAAAAGGGAGCTCACATCTAGTGTAAGTGGCATGTAGAGTGGACAGCAACAGAATACAGAGCAAGTTCAAAAGAATTTGCTTTCTGATCCAAACAAATCACACTCCATGATACTGGAAAAACTTTTAGATCTGACTGCTGATTATCTAAGCTATCTTGACAAGGTGCCAGGGACCAGAAATGAAAGAATGCATTCTCAATTTTCAAAAGAGGAGAAGTGCAAATCCAGAAAACCATCTATGGGTAAACTTGCCACTCATGCCCTGAAAAATTCTAGAAAATAAATTTTTGAAGACAATAAAAAGAAAAAGCCACCGTGGCCTCCTTATTAAGGCAAGCTATACAGCATTTGCTTTTTGATAGGATTACTAGAACAGAAAAAGGGAGGATGATACAGACATATACATAACTGATTCTAACAAGATGATCTGATAGAATCTTTAAATGATAGGCTGGCAAACAAAATGGGAAAATGTTGAACAGCAGAAGCTCGAAAATCTGTTAAACTCTACTAGGAGGATGCCTAGCTGGTTGAATATCTGGTTGATTAACGTATCGACATCAACCAATTTGGAAGGAAGTCTCCAGTAAAATCAGAGTTCCATCCTTTTCCACGACATAGACAACTTTTATGAATTTAATAAAGCCACAAACCTGCTCTCAACATGTGCAACGGCCATAAAGCTGTGAGTGACCTAGCACATACAGCCTGGCAGAATCAGACCCCAGTAAGGTCAGAGTAGGCTGAAACGATGGTCCAAAACCCAAAATGAAAATTAACAAGGCGTCAAGGCCAGCATTTAGATTTATAAACTCAAATATATGAAGGAGTAAACTTCAGTTTATGTAGGAAACACCTAGGTAAAAAAAAGCTACTAAAAAATCTACACACAATCTCAAGATGCCTTAATAGATGAATATGTCCAGACTGGATTACTATAGTTCTCTAATTAATCAACTTAAAAAAATATTTTTTTCCCTATGAATCATTCCCAGATCTTCATCCTAGAAAGTCAGAACAAGAACCTACAAATATCATTTAGTTAAAATTCCAGCTTTAGATCCAGTTATTAAAGTGTATCTTAGCAACATAAAACATTTTATTTGAAGAGCTTAATTTATTGACATTTATGTCAATATATCAATATATCCTTGAAAGAGGCCTCAGATATTTTTAAACCCAAGTCTCTCTTTTAATAAAGAGGAAACTAAGAAAAATTAAGTAACCTGCTCCAAATAACACAGCTGCTTAGCAAGGGCCATGATCCCCAAATCAGCCCCTTTCTGCACACCAGGTGGGTTTCCAGTCCTCTTCGTCCTTTCTTAAAATTTGCACTACGTACTAAAGAATTAGAAAACACACACAACATCTATCAACACGCTATATTTTGCTAAGGACAAACTAGCTTAGCAAGAACAAATAACCACAACACATCAGTCTGTAAAATATTTCGACATAGTGTGATCACTTACAAGTCTGATCACAGATATTTGTTACAAAAAGGCACTCTAATACAAAAATGGTTTTTATTCCTAACCATTAGTGTGTGATTACTTATTAAAGCATTATCCCATATCCCACTTAACATTAGAAAAAATAAAGTAAAAGTTATTACATAGATGGAAAAGCTGTTAATGGACATGCTATTGTTTACTGTGCTCAAAATCCCTCCCTCATCATAAAATATACTATGAAAATTATTAAAAGATTTTAGACCTCTAATCGAAACGGCAGGCCAAAGGTTTTCTTCATTTAGGGTACCATTTGTGCTGAAGCCCTCTTGTTCCCTCCTCACTCCCCCAGAAACAATGCCCAAAGGTACAAAGGTTGTCTGCCAGGCAGGCCAACGGACCCCCTTTGGCCTGATGTCCATCCTCCCTTCCCCTCCCCCTCTCCCTACCACCCCATGCCTCTTCTCCTACCCTCTGGGTTTAAAGAAGACAGGTGGAGAATTGATAAAAGGGCAAGTTGGCAAGGCTGTAGCTTATGATCACTAGCATATAGGCTAGGCCAGCTCCAGGAGAACCCATCCACCCCTAAATGAGACCTGGATGCCCTTCTTGCCCCAGGGCTCCTCTGGGACCCCTTTTGAAAGGAAGAGGGAACTCTACTGCCCAGATACTCTCATCCACTAGAGCCCCAGCAAGCTCTTTGTTTCCAACAGCTGTGGGGGGGCAAGCGGCCTTGGAGAGAGGGGAGAGGAGGGGGAGAGGTCACTCTCTTGCTCCGTTGCTGCCAATCTTCACGCTCTCCCGCAAAACACACAAACACACGCACAGGATCGTTCCCTCGGAACCGGTTTCCTCTCTCCACACCTCAAGAACCCAGGGTCACACTCTGCTACACAGAGGCACTCCTTGAGACCCAATTACCTCTTTCTATCACCCAAGCCCTAGACAGGATGACTCCCTAGCTCCCATCCTCTGAATCAACACCAACGGGGTTCACTCCAGGATCCCCCTCCTCCTTCCTGCTCAATGCATATACCCCTGGGCACATCCCTGAGCCCCAGGCACCACACACAAAAACACAGGGTCACTTCCTGGGCCCCAGGACTTTTCCCTGCTCGTATCCACAGACCTGGGGTCACTCCAAGCCCCCAGCGCCCACCTCTGGACCCAAAGGACATACATAGATAGATAGACACACACACACAGAGTTACTCTACATCGCCAATCCGCGTCCTCCGGGCCACCTTCTCCCTTTACCCACAAGACCCCTCCGAGACCCCGGCGCCCTAATGAAGAACCTCCCCAGCACATGGTCATTCCCCTGGCCCTCAGCCTCGCCCCGCAGCCCCTCACCGTCACACTCACACACACACACACACACACACACACAGAGAAAACCCCTGCGTGGGGCCGCCCTCCCTCCCCTGATCCTTCACAACACAAACACGCGCTCCCGCGTGCACACCCACGGCCACCCCGGGAGCCCCGGCCGGCCGCCTCCGCCTCGCCGGTCCCGGCCTGCCCGCCGCCCAGCACGCGGGGCCGCTCTCGCCCGGCACTCGACACACACGGCCACTCCCCATCCCCAACGCCGGCCCCCGGCCCGCTCGCGCCCTGGTCACCCGGGCCCTCTCCCAGCGCGGCCGCGGGGACCCCGAGGGCGGCGGGGGAGGGAGGGGCCGCAGGGGCGGGCCCCCGCCGGGCTCACCTGAGCAGTTGATGCTCTTGCCTTTGCCGCCGGGACAGTCGCCGCCGCCGCCGCCCCCGGGGGGCTGGTTGGACGCGCGGCTCCCGGGCAGGGAGAAGGCGAAGAGCAGAAGCACCGACGTGTAGCAGCAGAAGGCGAGCGGGGGCGCGGCCGGCAGCCGGAGCGGCGCCTCAGCGGCCGCGGCGCCCATGGCTGGCGCGCCTGGACGGCGGGAAGCGCAGGGAGCCGCAGGCCCGGGGCATCCAGCCGCGCGCCGGGAGCCCGCCGCGGCTCGGCGCCTCCTAGCAGCCCCTCCGCATGCCCGTGCCCCCGCAGCGCCCGCCAGGCCCGGCCGCCGCGCTCGGGACGGAGGCTGAGGGTCCGGCGCGTGCGAGGGGCGCGGGCGCGCGGGGGGCGCGGGAGGGGCGGGCCCGCGGGGGGAGACCGAGGCTAGGAGAGCGGGCGGGCGCGCGCGCGCGCGCGGCGGGCGGGGGGCGGGGGCAGGCCCGGCCCCTCACTCGCTTCGTCGCCGTCCCTTTGTGTCCGCGGCCGTCGCCACCGCGTCACAAAGACCCCGGCCCGCCGGGCGAGGGGCGCGTGACGGAACCGCGGGCGGGAGGGGGGCGGCGACCCCGCCCCGCGCACACCCCCGGCGCCCGCGCCGCCAGCCCCGCCCCGCCGCGGCCGGCGCCGCCTCCGGGGGAGCTATTGTTCCTGCGGCGGGCGGGAGCGCGGAGGGCGGGGGGCGCGGCCCGGCGGGGGCTGGGGGCGGGGGGCGCCCCCGGGGCTCCGCAGGCGTCTCTCCCGCAGACGGTGTTGCCGCCCTTTGTAAGCGCTTCGGAAGCGTTTCCTTCGCCCAGCAGCCGGCTGCAACAGAAGGGCAGGTGGTTTCTTATCTCTTTTCTAGGTGAAGAAACCGAACCGCCGAGAGGTGAAGGTGACTTGTCCAAGGTCACATACGAAGCAATGGACAGGACCAGAATTGGAACCCAAGTTCTGCCTCCAGCTATGCGGTCCTTAGAGATGGGGGCAAATGGCTAAATTTCTGGGATCCTCACTCCCACTCCATTCCCACATACACTGACTGAATTTCAGATACTCTGACAAATTCTATATTGTACTCTCCCACTAATAATAGCTAATATTTAGAGAGGATTTGCTGTATACAAGACCTGGAGGAAACTCTTTACATGCATTCTCTCCAGTTCTTTTTTACAGCCCTACAAGGGAGTTCTTACTCTCAGCTCCATTCCACAGAGGAGACAGTTGGGACCCAGAGAGATCAAGTGAGCTGACTCCCAGTCCAGCGCACTTTCTGTCACATCATGCTAAGTGAGACCCAGCCAGGGGCAGTAAGATTATAGACTAATTGTTTGAAAGTCCTGTGCCTTTTTCATTCTATTTTGCTGCCTCTCACCTAAGAAGGAATTTTTAAATCTCATTGGAAAACTGATATTAATGTGACAATAAAATTTTTAAAAGGTCTGAAAAGCCACCATAAGCAAAGCCACATTAGGGAAAATATTTTCAATGTAAGTAAGAGACAATATACTTAACGAAGTAACATAAATCAAGAAGAAAAAGTTGACATCATAGAAAGATGGGAAGCCGACTTGTCTTATTCATGTAAAATACAGACCATAAATATATGCAAAGATATTTAAATCCACTAGTAACAAGAGGCAGATTAAAACCATAAGATTTTTTTTTTTCTGTAGATCATTAACAAAAGTTAAAAGAATTGACAAAACCTAGCACTATTAATTTACACATTTGGGGAGGGCAATTTGACTATGTATCAAAAACCTTTAAAATATGTTTACCCTTTAATCTAACAATTCCACATATTGGAATTTATCCTAAAGAAATAATTGGGCAAGCACACAAAAATGTATATATGGTTGTTCATCATAGCGTTTTCATGATAGTAAATATAAGCTAAATGTCCATCCATGAGACATAGTTAAAGTATGGTGCCTCTTTGAACAGTGGAGTATTATGCAGCTTTAACGATGATTAGGTTAGTTTTTACTGACGTGGAAAAAGGCACGATACTAATGAGTACGTATAAGAAAACCTTATTTTCCTAAAATATACATGTGTGTACACATCCATAGGAAAAAAGTCAAGTAGAATATACAACAATATATTAACAGTGGTTATCTCTGAACAGTGGGCTATGAGTAACAGGTACTTGTCTTTTATGTTTTCTATATTGTCTGAATTTTTGTCTAATGAAAATTTTTATTGTTATAATTTAAAAAGCTATTTCTTTTTAAATTATGCTTTCATCATGCTTTTTATATAAATTCACATTTTTAACAGTTTATTAAGATTTGCCTCATCCTCTAAGTAAAATTCCACGTCTGGCTTCTGAATCAGGTGTGATCCCAGCGAAGCCACAGCAGAAGGCTGCTGCTCTGACCATTCCTTCAACAGCATCCCTGCTAAGCTTGACCTCCCTCATGCTTCTTTGCTGCCCTGTGTCTTGGCTCTCCCAGCCCCAGTATTCTTCCTTTCATTTTCACTTGACTGCTAACCATAGCCCGTGCAGAAACACTAGTAGGAAACAACCCATAAATAAAAAGCAAAAACTCTATGGCCAGAAGTCAGAAATTAATTTACATGTGCATCTTTCTCCAAACGAGATAAGAAAAACTCACAGATTTCTCAAAAGTTTTCAAATTGAAAAGGACTCTTCTTCAAAAACAGGATTTCTCTGACTTTAATCATTCAATCTCAGAGAAGAAAAAAGATCTTGGTGGTCATCTAATACAACGCCCATCACATGCCTTAATATTGGTGACCCCAAAATGTCATACAGCAAAAGAGTGTGAGACTCGCTACATAAAAACCACCCAGAGAGTTTTAAAAGAATATAGATTTCCGAACACCACTCCAGACATTCTGGGGGAAACTCAAATATCCCTTGATTATATTAAAGTTCTCTAAGTAACTCAGATACACTGCCAGTTTGGAAACCCCTGGCCTAACCTTCATCAGTCAGTTATTGCTCCGTAACAAACAATCACAAAATCTCAGCAGCATGCCACAATAAACATTCATTTCTCATAGGTCTGGGGGTTGACTAATCTAGGCCAGGCTTGGCTGAATGGCTCTGCTTCAAGCTGCAGGTCCAGCTGGGCTTAGCTCTTGTGTGCAGGCCAAGCTCTGATCTTCTCCAATATTACCCATTTGATGGCCCCAGCTGAAGGAGCAGCAGCTACCCAGGGGTATCGCTTATGGAGATGAAAGTGGTACAAGGGGGCATCCCCAACTGTGCAAGCCCTTTCCACACCCCCACTTGTACATGTCCACTAGCATCCCACTGGCTAAAGCAAGCCTCATAGCTGAGCCCAAAGACAAGGGGCATGGCAGTCTATTTTTATGGAGGGGAGTGAGAGAGAGTGAATATGGAGTGACTGCTTTTGGAAGATAATCTATCAGAAATCCTGTACTTGAGCACTATTATTTATATTCTTTCAGAAGATTTTCAGTTCCAAGTAACAGAAAACCCAACCCAAATTAACTTAAACAAAAAGACATTTATTGGCTCAGGTTAAAAAAAAAAAAAAAGCCAGAGGTAGTGCCTTCTCCTATCAGTTGTTTTTGTCCTCAATAAAGCTCCACTCATGGAAAACATTGCATTCCTTCAAGAAATCTTTGTAAGCGTCCACTGAGTGCTAGGTGCCACAGTAGCCTGTGGGGGCAAGAGACAGTCCTGTCTCACTGTCTACATGGGGAGACATCTGAAAATGAACAATTACAACTCAGTGTGATAAACACTAAATAGAAATGGAGGATGTGTGTTTGGGGGTAAGGTGGGGGTAGTAAATGGCAAATCCTACTCCACACTCCCAGCCCAGCCAAGATTCTGGCTTTTCTGGACCTCCTGCTGGAGAGTCTAGCTGCATAATGAAGCCCCAATAAACGGTAATGAGACAATGTGGGACTGACACATTGGCCCTGGTAGGAGAGAGTCAGAGCGCTTGAGCTCAGTCTAGAAACACTGGAATGATTTATGGAGCAGCACTGGCGCAAGCCTGGGATTGACCTCTGGCCCAAGTTGAGAAATTAGACCCTGCTTCCTAGAGAGAAGGGTCTTTAAAAAACATGGAATGAGTAGATGAAGTCATTCATTCATTCAGTAAATTGATACTGCAGGCCTACTCCTAGTCCCTGAAAATGCAGTGGTGAGTACAACAGACCTGGTCATCATCCTTAGGAAGTTTACAGACAAATGTTGAACAATTATACGAATTAAAGTAAAATTACAACAATGTTGATAAATGCTATGAAGGGGAAGCTGTCAGAGGCTTACCTGTTAGAGTGACACCTGTGCTAAGATCAGAAGAGTGAGTAGTTGACCACGTGAAGAGACAGTGTTCCAGGCAGAGGGAACGTCATGCGCCAAGGCCCTGTGAGTACAAGGGGCTAAATGCCGACCAGTGGGATAAGACAGCGTAAGCTCAGCTTGTTTTAAACTTCATTCACTGATTCAACAAATATTTGCTGAGCACCTACTATGGTCTATGCTCTGTTCTAGATGCAGAGAAACAGCGATAAACAGAACAAAGTCCCTGCTTCTTACAGAACTTAAAGTATAGTAGGGGAGACACCATAATAATAATATTGGTGGGAGAGCATGATTGTTGGATCAAGCCATAACCATAGTAACTATAACTCATTGAAGACCTGCTACATCCCAGCTACTGCCAGGCATTGCCTATTTGTTGTCACTAACCCTCCCACCCACCCTGTTGGTGGGTATTATTTCCATTCTATAGATGAGAAAACTGAGGCTTGTGAAGTTAAGTGACCTACCCAAACCAGAAAGCCAGGAAATTAGAGTCCCCTGGCTCCATCTGACTCCAGAGCCCCACCACATCACTAGCGTGAACAGGTGGAGAAGCAGCATCGCCTGATACAAGATGGAGCAATTATTGGCCCCACTAAGACTGCAGCCACCAAGGTGTGTGCACAAACCATCCTGAGCCCCTGCCAGCGTGTCAGGAGACTTTTGTTGGGGCTTCCTGTGATTACATGCAAGGATTATTGTGATTACATTGTTTGTAATTACCACTCTGGTTCAAGGCACGATTATTGTCACTCCCCTCCCCTTAACAGTTCTCAATTATTTAGATGGGCAGAAGCCAAGGAGCCAAGGGTTACAGATATCTGAACAAAAAGTGCAGTGGGACTGCAGAGAGGTAGCCCCACTCTGCCTGGAGGAGAACAGGCTTCACCACCGTAATTCCGTCAGTTTGAAAGGCTTCTCACCCAAACAGGCCCTGTGAGTGGGTAGAGAGACTGAGGAGGCATCGCTGGGTTTTTCTGCAGGTCTTCTTGTCATTCATCGTTCAGTATTGTCTGAATACAGAATTAAGATTTTTTTTCTCCATCTTTCAGCAAATGGAAATTTTCAGCTACAATTCAAAAATTTCTCCAAAAATGAGGGTTTAACTCATAAAAGATTGTACCACAGAAGGAGCTTCTCTGACAAAGACAATCACACATAAATGGTAGGAAGAGGTATGGCATAGTAAAGAAGAGTGTCAGCTCTGGGGCCGGCCCTGTGGCCGAGTGGTTAAGTTCGCGCACTCCGCTTTGGCGGCCCAGGGTTTAGCTGGTTTGGATCCTGGGCACGGACATGGCACCGCTCATCAGGCCATGCTGAGGCAGTGTCCCACACAGCACAACCAGAGGCACTCACAACTAGAATCTACAGCTATGTACTGGGGGGCTTTGGGGAGAAGAAGAAAAAAAAAGATGATTGGCAACAGTTGTTAGCTCAGGTGCCAATGTTTTATTAAAAAAAAAAAAAAAGAAAGGAAAAAAAGAGTGTCAGCTCTGGAACCAAACCATCTGGTTTTGCATCTTAACTCTGCCACTTGCTACCTTGGGCAAGTTACTTAACTTCTCTATGCCTCAGTTTCATAATCCATAATAGGGAGATAAAATTTGTATTTGCTTCACAGGGTTGTTGTAAGGATAAAATGGGTTTGTATAGGTAAAGTGCTTGGAACCATGCTCAGTACATTGTAAGTATTCAATAAATAATTTGTTAGAAGTAGTAGTGGCATAGTAAGCAAAT